ACTCCACCACTTCACTAAGTCGCCACACCCACATATAATTTTGTTAAACATAGTTAACCAAATATCTTACTATAATAAGTAGAGCTTATACAATGAATTAATGAAATCAAAAAAAAAACTTTTTTTTTTCTTTAATCATATTTATTTTTTATAGATTGAAGAAGGTGATAACTTCTTTAAAGAATGTTTGCAATTAGCTTTGATATTAGATTCCACTCAACAATCTCAGAACCTTAGTATAAAAATGGATATTAATGTTGATATCGGTGTTGTAAATAGAATGCTTAAAATTTTTGAATTGGTTAACCAACGTCATCGCCACAAAGCCTATACTAGTCAAAAAATAGAAAGAAAAGTTGCAAAATTTTCTACATCTGCTCCAAATAATAAATATAGAGTCTTGTATCATATCTCTCTTCAAATAAGTCTGCTTGTCCTGGTATTCTGTATCAAAATCACTAAAAAATAAGAGCAAGACTTGAATAGCTGAATAATAAAGCAAGAAGTTTAGTTAGTAGGTTAATTTTAATTTACTAACTCTGAATTGGTGATAATCAGAAAAAAGCATATTAGGGCTATTTTGTTAGTTGGATCAAGTAAATAGACAGTTAAAAGTAAAAATTTTAAATTTCTTTTAAAATTGTTGAAGATAGTGGTTCTAGTAGACATTATATGATTGTGGCTTCTGCTATTATTAAAATACAGATATCTCTAAAGATAAAAGGATAACATTTGAGTATTATTAAAATCTGCTAGATACGATAGCTTTTATAAACTATGTAATTTTGAATCTGGCTATAAAAGAGGCATAGATAATAAAAATAAAAGAAGATATTGAAATTTTAAAATTTCAACCCTGTTGAATAAGATGATTCTTGTAAGCAATATAGTTCTGAATTCAATTGTAGAAAAATACAGGATTATTAAGAATAAAAAGAGGTATTAAAGTGGTATTTTACTTTAAAATCTGCTAAAGATAGTAGTTGCTGTGAACTTTATAATCTTGAATTTGCAACTATTATCATTTTAGAAGCAATATTTACCTTTTGGTGATTGTATATTTGACAACATAAGCTGTTAGTCAAGACATTAATTGTAACAAATTAAAATGAAATCAGATTAAAATAAAATTTTTCTATTTTTTTTTAGAAAAATTTAAAATTTTTTGGGTGACATTTTTTAGGGTTAGGGTTAGTGTTAAAGTTAGGGTTTAGAGTTAGTTTTATTAATAAAAGAGTATAAGTGAGTTTTATAAGCTTTAAAGATGAGCAAGAAAGATCTCCAGTTTCATTTTAATCTGATTTCATTATGATTTGCCACATTAATAACTAAATCAGATTATTATTTATTTATTTGAATTCGAAATTCTAATCTTTATACTTTTTTATTTTTATAATAGAGTTAGTAGAAATTTCAAGTGCAAATATGAATCCAGTACATCTAGTTATATGAGGAGAATTTGGAATTGGATAGGTTAATAATACTATCTTTTTTTTTAAATTCTTGCACTTTATTATAAGAATTCAAATTATTATTCTTTTATTGAATCACATACAAATATTGATGAACTCTTATACATTTCAGTAAAAGTTTTTTTTCAACTTTATTATTCATCAATTTTAGATAGTGGTTATACAATTTTTACACATATTCCATTTTTTTCTTTTATCTATTATCTTGAAAAAAGTAATTTTGTATTATTTGATAAGAATTTAGATTTATTAACTATTAATCATTTAATATCTGAATTGTTTGATTATTTTAATACTTTTTATATAAAGCAAAGATTGCAAGAAATTTTATAATTTTTGATTTTTTTCTTTTGCAACTTTATTAATAAAATATAAGAAATTTATTTGCTATTGCAATTTTATATTATATAATTTTACAAATTTTAATATTTATTATATTAAAATTTTATATTAACTATTAGATTTGTAATTGGTTGGCCAAATAATATTAATAAAAATTTAAAAATTCAAATATATATATAAATTATATTTTTTAAAAAATTAAAATAGGTTATATTATTTATATACACAACTCTTCCTGATGATTCCTCGAACCAACTTTTCACAACAAAAAATTTTGATAAAAACTATAGAACTATGTTAGAGAAGAAGGACATAAGACTGACGAGAACTATAAACCAGTATCTATTATTTAGAGATAGTTTTTATATGCTATCTGCTAATAGGTTTAGAGCTTATCACTCACCATGGGGATAGTACTTGTTATTTAGAAGTAGTTCTCATATGCTACTTGCTAACAAGTTTAGAGTTTATCACTTACCAAAAAGAATATCAGCAGTGTGCTCAGATCTACTTGTCTTACTATTTTTGAAGAAATATATACTCTCTCTTAAAAAAAGTACAAGGTCGATACTCTTTACTATTACCCACTTGTGCTTGCAACAAAATTTTTAAAAAAAGTGGGCAAAACAGCTTACCTCTGTCAAAAGATCAGTATTGTTTACTTCTTCCAAATTTGGTCAACCCAGTAGATTGCAACCACGTGTTTTGTTTGGTAATAAACACATCACTATCCCACATAACAAGGCCCATTGACTAGTCCTTGGTTAAAGATGGATCCAGATTTGGTCATATAGTCAGAAAGAAACTAATATATTAGGAAAAAGTCTTATAGTAGAGATATACAAATGTTGCATTTGTTATATAATTTTTTAAGCCTTGCACAGGTTATAATAGTGTACTTTCTTTTATTTTCTTTTATTATATTGTTTAGCCCAGTCTAAGAGCATTACTTGTTTTTTTCTTATCTTTTTCTTATATGGTTATATTAGAGTTTTGTGTTTAGATTTTTGTTTTTTTTCCCTTTATAGTCTTCCTTTCTTTTAATTGTTTCCCTTATCTCCCCCTTCTTGCAATATTGTTTTATTTTCTTTTTTGTTTTTCTTGGTTTTATTGAATGGAGAAACAGGTTTACGAAGCCTTTCTGTCAAGATCTAGGTGAAAAAAAATTAAGTTTTGGCTTTTAGGCAGAGCTGATAATATTTTTTGTTCTATTCGTAGTGCAGTGTGACAGGTCGCATCTAGGTACTTGAGAAGCAACCGGATGATGCTACATCTGATTATTTTAGTTTAGATATATTACATATGTTCTGCATATGTAATAATTATTTTTTAATAAAGGTAGCAACAAGACTGTCAAAGAGTTAAAAAAAAAAAAAAAAAAAAATAGATTATATTTAATTTTTGTGTAAAAAATTCTAATTTTTAATGCTTATATTTAAATTTTGGTTAATAAACCTTATTAATATAAAGTGGATAAAATTTATAAAAATTTTATATTAAAGCGAATATAACCTCTATATATATTATTTAGAATCCTACTACTATTAGATGCATCTCGATGAGCTTTACAACTTTTACTTAATTTATATGAACTATTAACTTAGTAAAAAATTCTGCTATTTTAGAAAATATTTTGGTTTACATTATATGAAAATTTTCTTTAGTTCAGTCAAAGATTATTAATTAAATATAGTTAATAGTTAGATTTGAATATATAGTACTGTAGTAGTTAGGATATTATAAAATAATTAGGGATGGTATTAGCTTATAATAAGCTGGCTTAGCCATGGCTTTTGAGCCTAGCCATCAAGCCAGCTCGAGCTGGCTCAGAGCCAATGTGATAAAATCAAATTTATCATATAATAAATTTAATTTTATCATATTAATTCGAATTTGTTATGTAATAAATTTGATTTTATCACTTAGATTTGATTTTATCATATAACAAATTTGAATTTGTTATATATTATATGAGTCAGCTCAAGCCAATACTATCTCTAACAATAATAATACTAGTAAAGAATTTTTTTTAATTTTTTTTCTTTTATATATATATATATATATATATATTTCTAATAAAAAATTTTTATTAATTCTGGGCTAATTTTCAAATTTCTGATCTTTGCTAATTATTTTCTGAGGCTATTATATTATAGTAAGATATTTGGTTAACTATGTTTAACAAAATTATATGTGGGTGTGGCGACTTAGTGAAGTGGTGGAGT